TTCCGCGCGTTTCAGACGTACGTCAAGACATACGGAGAACCACAACGACTGCCATATGTCTCGCAATACACACCACAACAGCTGTATTTCCTCTCATACGCGTCCGTACGTTATGAACAGCCCTTTCATAACTCAAATTTAGAAATTTAAAAATTTTTATTATATAATAGATTAAATGCAATCTAATCCGAAAAACAGCATTAGACGTACAAATTACTAGCGAAGTCCATACTCCAGGCAAATACCGAGTGAACGTTCCCCTATCCAACTTTCAGCCCTTTTCCGATGCCTTCAATTGTAAATCTAATTCTCCAATGAATAGGAAAAATAAATGTATTTTATGGCGATAGTCTATCACTGATAGATAACTTATTGCATATAGTATACTGTATTCTTATTATGTAAACTCATTTGATTCTCAATCTGGCCAAAAACTAGCCTATATTCATGATAACCTATGGGCTATAGGCTACTTTTGGCCAGGTTGAGAATCAAATGAGCTTACATTTGTTTTATAAGTAAAATACAACCAAATATATAAAGTTCTATCTATGGGTGTATTATGTTTAAAAGATGTATCAAATCCTTTCATAAGTAAACTTGTTTGATTCTCAAAAATCAATTACTTATAAGAATTGTATACAAAATAAAATAAGAGTCAAAGAACTCAACAATTGTGACAAAAATGTAAAAGACTAACAAATGATTAGAAAATTTGAAAATATTATATAACATTATATAATAAATAAATAAAAAGAGTATTGTTTTCGCCATTACATAACCCGCAAAGTATGGCTCATCTAAATGTCAAGTGTTTTTGTAGTGATTATGTTGTGTTTATATTCAATGAATACACAATTTATGGCATTATTTTGTGCAGTAATTGAATGAATAAATAAGTTCATTCACAAAACAAACAAATATATGGTTTAATATATAATGAGTTTCAGAGATTATATTAATATTTCATAAGTTATTGTTATGTTTACATATCCATCGAAAAACTAAACTCTTATTTATTATTATATAATATAATAATAACTTTTATCTCAAAACCTTTCTGACTATACTCGAGAGCACCAACACTTGAATGAGACATACAGTATAATGTTCATATTTTAAGCAAATTATTTTATAACCCTTGTGTATAATCTAATGTATTTATCAGTGAAATTATTTATAAAAATATGAACATTATATATCGGTGGATAGAAAACCCTTTGAATGTGAGTATATAGGTTTAAAGCTAAAAAAGATTGATTATGAGTATTGATAACAAGTATTAGTATGCTACATAAGTACAAGTTGTACTGTACAACTTAATAAATAAACTTTTTATCTTTAAACCTATATACTTCACATTCAAAGGGTTTTCTATCCACTGACATATGTTTAATATAAACAAAACTTCTTGACTGTATAAATATCAATTCAAATCAGGCCTTATAAGGAAAGTATTTTCAAAATATAAAAGGTGTTGTTAAGATTATTTAAAAATGGCACATCGTACTTATTTTAGGGTTACTTTGCTATCAATTAGTTTAATTGCATTCATATTAATTGTGATTATTCTGTACGCTCGACACAAATCTACTATTCAAACTACCCCTACTGTCCCACTCATATGCCAGTCGCCTGTCTGTGAATCCGCGGGAATGGCATTGAAAGCCAATCTCAACGAATCGGTCGACCCGTGCCATGACTTCTATGCGTTCGCGTGCGGGGGTTGGGAGGCATCCCATACATTGCCCGATGATAATCAATGGTACAATAGTTTTGTTATACTCAATGACAATGTTTGCCACTCTATGAGGATATCGTTGAGTAAAAACTGGTCGACAAGTGATTCAAATGCTGTGACCTATGCCTCCGATCTCTATAAGGCGTGTATTGATGAAGGTTTCGGACATTCATTTCATTTGTTTTGTAATTATTC